CCTCTGGCTCCCCACACCCAGAGCCCCTCTTTAACACCCACATTTTCCCTTAGTCCCATTTTCCCCTCGCCCCACCTACCTTTTCAGTTCCCCCATAGCTCTGGCTCCAGTCCCAGCCTCTGTGCCGGCATCACTCCCCTGTTCTGCAGGCTTTGGGCATTGTCTTTTAATCAATTAAGATCAATTAACCTAAAGTTACCGCCAAGCCTCAGTTCTTCAGCCCAGGCCCCTCTTGTCTACCAGTTCTAATCCCAGTCCCGGTAACTTTCACTTTCAGCAACTTTCACTCCCTACACTTCTACTTTCTTACCTTAACCTGTCCCCAGGTATCCCAAGTACACCAAGCACATACATACATATATACACACACACATCACAACACCCAACTTAGGAACTCACCTGTGTGTATGTGTAGGTGGGTGGTATGTGTGTGCATTAGTGAATACACACACACACATATATATATATACATATATAGATATCATTGTGTGTGTATGGTATATGAATTAGTGTGTGTATGCCTAGTAGGGGTGCATGCACCTAGTGAGTGTATGTGTGCTTAATTGATTTTTATGTGTGCATGTGCAATTGTACACCACACCCTGCTGTCTAATAGTGCAATATTGAGATCCTGAGCATTGGCCTGACCCCCTCAGGGCAACAATCAGGTCGGTCAGGTAAGACTTGCCGTTGGTGAATCCATGCTGACTGTCCCTAATCACCGTCTCCTCCAAGTGCTTAGAAATGGATTCCTTGAGGACCTGCTCCATGACGGACTCTTTTTTTTTAAGTTGTTGGGTATCCTCATGCATTTGAGCACACAGGGTACATTTTTTTCAGGATTGGGCTCATGAAACTCTATAAAACTTTTGTTAATAGACAAAATTAGATGCATTGCTTTTTGGCATGGGAGAATCAAAAAACATAAAAAACAAATAGCAAAATATTTTTACATTGAAGAGATGAGACACTGAAGTGAAACAACAAAATAGTTCTGGTGTTTCAGTTTGTTTGCTATGGTCACAGACTGTTTTTGGTCATTATAATAGATAGATTCAAAGATGTAGGGTCAGAAGGGACCTTGTAGATCTTCTAGTCTGACTCCCTGCCATGGGCAGGAGAGAAAACTGGGTTCAAATGACCCCAGCCAGGTAAACGTCAAGCCTCCTCTTAAAGACACCCAGGATAGGAGCATCACCACTTCCCTTGGAAGTTGGTTCCAGATCCCAGCTGCCCTGACTGTGAAGTAGTGCCTTCTAATGTCTAGTCTAAAGCTACTCTCTAGCAGCTTATGGTTGTTATTTCTTGTTACTCTGGGAGGCGCTTGGGGGAACAAGGTCTCTCCTGAACCCCGCTGGTCCCCCCTAGTAAGTTTATAGATGACCACCAGGTCCCCTCAGTCTTCTCTTGTGAAGGATGAACAGGTTAAGGTCCCATAGCCTCTCTTCATAGGGTCTGCCCTGTTGTCCCCGGATTATGCGAGTGGCCCTCCTTTGGACTCTCTCAATGCTGTCCACATCCCACCTGAAGTGCGACACCCAGAACTGGATGCAGTACTCCAGCTGTGGCCTGACCAGTGTCACGTAGAGGGCGGGGATCACCTCCTTGGCCCTGCTTGTGATGCATCTGTGGATGCAGGACAAGGTACGGTTAGCCCTACTGACCATGTTCTCGCATTGTCGGCCCATGTTCATCTTGGAGTCAATAATGACTCCAAGATCTCTTTTTGCCACCGTGCTTTTGAGAAGGGAGTTCCCCAGCCTATAGGTATGCTGCTGGTTCCTACTGCCCAAGTGCAGCACCCCGTACTTGTCAGTATTGAACCCCATCCTATTTTCATTTGCCCACGCTTGTAACCTGTCCAGGTCCTGCTGTAATCTGTCCTTCCCTTCTAACGTGCCTACCTTACCCCAAATCTTGGTGTCGTCTGCGAATTTAAACAGGCTGCTCTTCACCCCATCATCCAAGTCACTAGTAAAGAAATTGAACAGTGCGGGCCCAAGGACCGAGCCCTGGGGGACCCCACTGCCCACTTCCCTCCAGGTCGAAAATGACCCGTCCACCACCACTCTCTGAGTATGACCCCTCAGCCAATTTGCAATCCATCTGACTGTGTAGGCATCAATGCCACAGTTGCCTAGCTTTTTAATGAGAATGGGCTGGGAGACAGTGTCAAAGGCCTTCCTGAAGTCCAGAAAGACTACATCCACTGCGACACCTGCGCCCAGTGATTTTGTGACCTGATTGTAGAAGGCAATCAGGTTGGTCTGACAGGACCTGCCCCTAATGAAACCGTGCTGGTTGCCCTTGAGCATCATCCCTGCTGCTGGCCTATCACAGATGTGCTCCTTGATAATCTTCTCAAAGAGCTTCTGCAGGATTGAAGTAAAACTAATAGGCCTGTAGTTGCTCAGGTCCTCCCTCTTCCCTTTTTTAAGGATAGGGACCACAATGGCCCTCTTCCAGTTGTCTGGCACCTGGCCAGAGCACCACAAGTGCTCGTAAAGCTGTGCCAGGGGCCCCGCAATAACCCCTGCCAATTTCCTCAGCACCCTGGGGTGGAAAGCATCTGGACCTGCTGATCTGAACACATCCAGCCCCTCCAGAAGTTCTCTAACTTGGTTCATAGGGTTGTGTGAAATGGGCTGTATTCAATTTCGATTTGGATTTGGCCTGAATTGGGGACAGTGATTCAATCTGTTGATTCGGATAGTTGTCCCTGATTTGATTCAGCTGAATCTGAATCTGAAGCTGCGATGCTGATTCAGTGAGTCAGCTATTTGGACACAGACACAGCTTTAAAAGTTTTTTTCTACATACCTTGAGGTAGCAGCGAGGCTTGTGATCACTGCAGTGCTGGGGAAAATGGAGAGTCCCACAGCAGTGTGGGGGGCTTTCCAGCATGCTCAGCAGTGAACCCGGAAGTGACATGAGGAGGCCCTGTAGCGTGCTCCCCAGCAGACCCAGAAGTGAACCGGAGGTACTTCTAGTCCACTTCCGAGTATGCTGCCAAGCATGCTGGGGAGCCCTCTGAGCTTTTGTGGGGCTCTGCATCTGCCCCAGCACTGCAGTGTTCAGAGCCCCTGCTTCCTAGAGGTATGTAGAAAAGTCATTTAAAGCTGTATCTACGTCCAAATGGCCGAATCTGTCCTAATCTCTCCGAATCAATTCAGAGAGATTAAAGGGTCCCCTGATTTGATTTGAATTCAGAGATTCAGCCAATGAATCACTGAATCTCCACTGAATCAAATCAGGGACCCTAAACTTTGTACAGCCCTAATGGTTAGTGTTGAAACTGAGGGTTTGACTAAAAGTAAAGGGGTGACTGCAGTTCTTGTAGATATGCCCATACTAGCTTTAATTTGTTTCAGTGTTAAGTATACAACATTGAAAAGTGACTTATTTTTCTTAAATTTATTCCTTGCTTGTTTTACTCATCTTAATCATAGTCTCTAAGTGTATATCACAATTGAAAACCTGGTTCATACCTTCCTTGTTCATTGGCTATTAGCTGTTCTGTGTTTAACACCCACAAGTAAAACACAATGGCTTGGTTTTTGAGCAGGTTTATTTAAGCATATATTTTTTAAATGGGCTTTAATATGAAAGGCCCATGTCTTCTGTTCAGTCTGAAAATTCAGTTTGTTTGTTTTGATATTCTGATAGAATGGGTATATGTGATTCCAAATGCAGGGTTTTTCAGAGGTCCTTAACTGGAATATAAATAAATAATAAATTATGAAGAATCCTACCCATAAAAGTTTTCTTTCTTTCAGAATAAAACTTTCTTTCCCTCATTTATCTTTGTTCTGTATACTATCCAACTAATGTATACCCAACTTCCACTGTAAGCTACTCAATAGTAAGGCATTTTCCCTTGTCCTGCAGAATTTAAAAATGTGTTTATGAAATAGAAAACTTAAATAAACATTATTAAAATAAACAAATCCTCTCTGCCAGTTGAAAATGCAACTCAGAGCTTTCAACAGCCTTATTTCCTCTCCATAACTTTCAGTTTCTGACCCATACCCTAATTCGTATTAACATAGTAGATATTTGATCTAACTGCTTTACAATACAGTGTTCTATTGTTTTTTGTTTTTTTTTACCAGCAAAACCCACTATTCAAACTTGTGCTAAGATGTGTATGTCTAATGCTGGCATATGATAATTAAATACATCACAGGCATGTACAAGCCAAAAGCTTTGGAGGCTTGAAACAATAGTGGGTCTTCTGACTGCCAACCTCTTCTTGCTCCCTAGAAACCTTACTTGCCAAGCTGTAATTTCAGGAGTGATTTAGTTTTTTAAACTGCCATAATATAAAAATCAATCTATTCATTAGAGGGATCAGGCTATAAATATTTTCCATTAGTTGACATTGGCTATGGAATTCCTTGTTATTTTCTTCCCTAAATTATTGAGTAGGATTGCTTTGCGTTGTTTGTTACTGCTGTCCACATGAAAAAGAAAGAGCGAAATGGTTGTTTCATACAGATGTATATAATGCACATTCTGTTAAGTGATTGGGATCTTTGTGGACCAACAACACTGAACAGATGCTAAGACACAGGTAAAGCAACTAGGAAATAAACTCATATTCTTTGCTCCCTACCTGACTTTGTGTGATGTAACACAAGTCAATTTTTCTCTCTCTATTTCCCCATCTTGTAAAATTACCTATCAATTTCACAGACTTGCGAAAAGTCTTAATAGATTAATAATTGTAAAGTACTTCAAGACCTTGAAATAAAAAATGGTAGTAAAATATAATGTTGCTTGTATAATTTCTCATATAATTATGCTATTATCACAAAATCATCTTAAGGTACATAAAGTATAAGATGTTGAAACCCATTATCCCACTGTGTATTATCTATGCATATATGCAATAAAAGGATTAGCTTTTACAGAATTAAGATGTAGAATGACAATTTGAAGATTTCAACAGAATTTGGTCAGTCTTTAAACATTATTTTTTGCTTTGTTTTCTTTTACAGTTTGCGCAGATGGTGTCCATCTACAAAACTCTGGGTCCTGAGAAGTTCCCTCTAATTGCACAAACATTTTATCCAAATCACAAGGAAATGGTAGGTGCAAACAACACTAAAAGTCAGTTGCTGTATGAATAGAACTGAAACTATAATTACCCATGATTCATTTTCCCTTTTTCCCTCTCTCAGTTATTTTAAAATACCATTTTGGAAACTTCCAGTGGCATGATACTGGATGACAATGAGAAAGCATCCTTCTGTTAATTGAAAAATTAGTACCTTCAGCTTTAAAAAAGACAAACTGGTTCTAAAGAACAGAAAAAATACAAATTATAAAGTGCACAGGAGAGTGTATGGATATGTTTCCAGGCTAGTCCTGTGGGTTGCATGCTAAAATATTCAGTATCTTTAGTGCTGGTGAGTAAGGCTGTATGACATATTTGTGTAAAACCTTCAACTCACCTAAAATCAGATTGTTTCACGTGCTGTTACCTTCACATGCTGGAGCTGCTCTGCTGATAAGTCGCACCCCTCTGCTCAGACAATAATTGTTCACACCCACAATCAAGTGTGCTTTATGCTATCTACCTTTTCAAGCTGTTCCTGTGAATTGGTTGCACAAATGTTGGGTCTTTAGAGGACTCAGGTGGCTACTTTCTCCAGCATTTTCTTTGAGGAGTTGCTAGAGATGGACTATTGCTTCTCTCAAGTCATGAACTAACTTCTTGGGAAGGAAATACCTAGGCAGGTATATGAATCTGATGTCACCATACAGCTTGAATGTCCCTAATGCCAGCAGCTTGTCTGGTAAGCTGTAAGATGCCCTATAATTCTACATGCAGTTGTTTCATATAGGAATTCTCAGCCCCCTGTATTAAAGATGTCAGATGCTTTCAACCTTAATGCATTATTGGTAGGTGACTTTTGGAGTTCCCTAGCTGCCTCAAAAGGAATTTTGAAGTAGCTCACAAATAGTGCATTTCATACACGTACTCCGGGGTGGAGAGGAGGGCGCTTTAATTAGAGAGGTTCTGACACGCTCCAGAAGACTTGCAGAAGACTCAATTAATTGCTCCAACACATTAATTAGAATGCATCAGAGCAGAGCTCCATCACATAGTATATGTGCCCAAAAACGTTGGCAGCAAGAGCAGAGGTCTGTCCCACACCACTTCCTACCCCACTAAGAAAGATCCAGGCACAGAGAGATGGTGGCCTTCACTAGCAACCCAATTATTAACATACTCAAGGAAGAAAGAGGCTTGCATCTTGCATCTGCTGCAGACCCAGGGGAGTTACTATGATACCTATAACTTGGAGTTTTGTGGGTGGGCTGAAACCAAATCTGAGTCCTTTCTAAAATGTCAAGTAGAAAATGGGGAGGATTGATCAAGGGGAGGAGAATAAATTTAAGGTTTTTTTGAGTTTTCCTGGAGATACAGATTATATGTAGCATCCTCAATCTACAAGCAAACCTGCAACCAGGTGGTTGGTTGATGGCCTATGTATGGGCCCCAGTTTCTAAAAGTAGATTCTTACTAGGGATGTGAAAGGTTAAATGATTAATCATTTAACCAATAAGTACAGTGATAACTGGCTAGCTTACTGATATCCTTTAGCTCTGAACAGGCACAGTCTGGTAGGGAAGGGAAGCCATGCAGTAGCACAGCAGAAATAAGAAGGCAGCAGAGCAAGCAAAGGGGGTGGGGAGGGGGTGAGGAGGACTAGTACCCATAGCCTAGGAGGAAAACAAGGAGCAGCCTAATAACTCAGCAATTAAGCAATTAGATGCTTGTTTACAGGTGCTCCCTCCCTCCTTCCCAGATGCAGGGTTTCCTGTGAGCTGTGTTGTCTGGCAGGGCTTGCCTCCTCACCCCAGGAGCTGTCTGAGCTGCTGTATTGTCTGTTACATGATTAACCAATATAATTAGAGGAGGTTAGACAAATATTTTTTTAAATGATATTTACCTCCCTAATTCTTACTTTCTTACTCTGGGTAGAGGAGCCCAGCCCAATGCCCTTTGAATGCAACAAAGTATCCCACAGAGACAAAACAATATTTTCAGCACCAAACCCTGAAGTCATTTTTCAGTGCTGTTGTGTAATGTTTCATCACTGTAAATCAAATGCAGTATGTACTGTTGCAGTGTATGCCTTCTTTTTTTCTGTGCCCCAGACAATTGAACATCATGAGTTGCTTTCCCACTGTGTTTCTTATGTGTGGTGAGGGAGGCAGAAAAGTGGTGCATTCCATTTTTCTTGCCCTAGTGTTTTTTAGCCCATCTGGACTGTTTGCTTCATTTGTTTCTTTATTTGTTGCATGCTAAATTTCTCTTTGAAGGAGTTCCTGACATAGCCATGGTAAGAGTGGTACACAGCAATGAGTCTCAAACTGTGGTCCTGAACATATAAATATCCTTTGAGAGCAGGAGGGCTTTTCCTGACACAAGGATAAGTAAATACAATAGTGAAGTCAACAGCTTTGTTACTTCTGTTGTTGAAAAGTGAAGCAAGAGAGGACCAAATGTCCTTTCTGTTGGATATGAAATAATTAATTCCAGAAGCAGAACAGCGCATTAGTGATGCAGTAAATTTTTTGCTTCCTAAATTTTACTTTATATCTTGTTTATAATCCCGATAATGGCCGAGATCTACGTAATGGCTGATCTACATTCTTCTTTGCATAATTCATGGGTGCTCTCAATAATTTTACAAACACATTGAAAACCTGCCTATTTTGCTTGTATGTGTTCTAAATATAGGTATATAGAAACGGAGAATAAAATATCCCATTATTTAAGTACAAGAATTGGTTGAGGTTTCAACTTCTCCATCAGGTTCTTTTGAAAACTGTTATCTTAGATTACTAGCTGAATTCTATGTCTACACCAGAAATAAAAAGATGGAGAGCTGTTAATGGAAAGCATTTCTTCCAAGTGCATCAAAGGGAGTGCCTGTACATGTGCTGTGAGGCTGCTCCGATACAAGTCTGCTGGAGCATGGTAATTACTGCATTCCAGCCAGTCTCTGCATCTCGTGTGTCAGCATTCCCACGTTTAAGAATGGCAGTTGGGGCAGCTAACTACAGCTCGTTGAACAAGCTTTAGTTCAAGCACCCCCACTGCCCTTTTGAAGCATGAGGATGCTGATATGTGAGAGCTGTGGTGCTTTAATTAGAGCAGCTCTCACAGTCCCTCTAATTAAATTGCCCTCCCTCCCCCAACACTCCCAGAGCACGTGTAAAAGTGCCCAGGTTGTTTGACAGACACGAGACTTAATATTTGAAAACAGATTTGCCCTTATGCCTTCAGTTACCTCTCTTACTCCCACACAGCAATCATGAATGGTTAGAGGCCTTTTTCTTTTTTCATTTCATTGTAAAAAGCTAACTAGGCTTGGGAGATGTTAACCATTTTCCACGTAATTAATATTAGGCTGGAGATGACTCTTCTTCTAGTATTGTGTTGACACATTTCAAATGTACCACATAACTGAGGAAAGTTAGATTTAGAACGCCTTGTTTGTTTTTCCCTCTGGGGGAAATTTTGTGAACCCAGTAACTTAGAAAACATGCGGTCAAGACAGGATACCAAATAGTTTGGTTAGGATATTTGTAGAGGGTTGGGCTGTATGATGATTCATAGGTGGGAGTTTTCTCAGTATATGAGTTGAATGTTTGTTCAGACTATTCTTAATGTTCAAACTGGTTTGAGATTGCTTTTACCTATAATGATGCTTCCAGATGTTTAAAGAGTTTCTGTTGTAGTTCCACTCTTGTCTGCCTCTGCCCGTTTTTACATTCAGCCATAAATAAATTTGTTTTCCCTCTAATTGAAAACTGTCTATGTTAGGACTTGCAGGGTGTTTTGAAGCTTTAGAGATTTGGAACGTAGCAGGCCTGAGTTATTGTTATGCTTCTATTCTTTTTGCTTCTTATATAGTCTGATGATCATTTGTGCATGACTCTCTAGTACTGTGTTTTCAAAAGGAAATAAAAGGTAAGTAAATAAAATACCTTTATGCAATATTGGGAGCTGCTTTCATGAGAACCTTCTTGGAACAAAGACATTTAGCTCAAAAGTCGATTAAATCTTTACAGTGTTGTGAAGCTTTCAAACTCATTGCTGCCTGGATATTTGCAACCTTTTCTGGAATTAGTTCACTTTTTCAGTATATTTTCTCCTACATTTTCTGCCATGTAAAAAAAAAAAAAATCCTGTCCAGTTTATTTTTTGTGTGTGGTGATGAATTTAACTAGGAGGATGTTATGAAAACTACATCCAAGTACTCTTACCTAATTTCAGTAATTTTCTTTGATTTTTCATTGTTTTTCTGCATGACTTTTTCTTATGTTTTCCCAGTTGTAAATATAAATCAGATGGGTCACATTCAAAGTAAAACCAAATGATGTACCATGCAGTATTTTTCTTCTTTGACCTTCAATGTACCCTGCACACACACACACACACACACACACTTCAGAAAGTAGAGAGCAGTCATTCTAAAAATAGTTTGTTGTTTGTAATAAATTAATGCAAATACAAGGAAAATTCTTGTTAGGAAAATAACATATTCTGAAAAAAATTGTACCGTAGACAAATTTCCTTTCAGTCCTTTTCAATGACAAATCAAAAGGAAAATTAAATATAAATTAAGAAAGTAACTTTTTAAAGCTCTATATCCCTCTTTAGTGATGTTAGAAAGATTGGTCTCTTTTTCTCCAGTGTGGAAAACACAGTCAGATTCAAGTTCAGACAGAAATCAGACTGGGCTGCAATTGATTTTGAAATACCTTATATTGAATAGTTTATGGAAAATCAATTACAAAATGTTCATAAGACTCCATATAGGATATGGATATCTCATATTGTAAAATGTATACCTAAAAGTTTTATTTCAAATACAAATCATAAATATTTGAAGAAAAAAAATTATTGCACAATATTGGATGAAAGACAATGTTTGTTATGTTCATTGAGCTTAAGTTTTAGTTATTGTGTAACTTTAAAATAAACAGTACTTCAATAAACAAGTTACAAAGCAGAAAATATCCATTTACTAGTGCTGTTCAAAATGGACCATTACAATAGAATGAT